TAACATAGTCTCAGATAGAAGTGTTGGATAAATACTGCTAAGGATTTAGGATAGTTGTAGCTAGGAATACAGAGAAGCTTAAAATTGGAGCTTACTATGAGAAATTATCATAGCTTATAGTACTAAATAACTGCAGCTACAACCATTTGAATGTTCACATTGTTGAGAGCATTTGATATTCAAAGAAGTATTACTTTGCAAATAGGAACATTAGTTGTGTATAACTAGAAGTCTTAATGATTGTAGCAAAGAACATTGGATGTTTATGGGGTGTTTTGGATAATCCAAGTTTATCAGCTAGGAGTGTTTAATGTTCATAGTTAGGAGTGATGTATGTTGTCACGAGGAGTTTTAAGTATTCACATCCAAGTTTTATGAAAGTTCTCCATGTACTGAAATTAACAGTATATTCTTTAAAACTATATCTACAGAATAATTTCTGTGTCGAATAATGCAATAGCATTATTTATGGCAACAATCAGGAGAGTTTGAAAATAAAATTCCTGTCATTTCATAAAATAAGAGGTAAGTTTCTATATCAAATATTTCTTTTCCCTGTTTATGTGCCATTCATTACAGAACACCACACTATCCCTATCTAAGGTGAGAATTATTCCCCACTTACACTTGTCCTAGCTTTTCTTCTTTACATGGATCCTTGGTAGCAGGAATTGCTGGTAGTTCATGAATTTTCCAACGGAACTGTTCACTGTAACTTCCACCACGTAGGCTCACACGGATTATTGTACCTTTTCCAGAGGAGTTTCCAGGAATAAAATCCACATTACCACGAATTCCACCAGCATTGATGACTGCAACTAAACTCTCAGCTCTCTTAGACTCTTGGCAAACTAAAACAGACAACAAATTTAACAGCAGGTACACACTTAGATTAAGGATAGTGTCACAAACGTTTTTTTAATAATACATAATGAAAAAAGAAGATCAGTAACAGACTTAATAGTTAATTTACTTAACAAAAAAGATTAATAAACGTAAACTGTCAGAAAAAGAAGAAAGATAGTCGTTGTTACATCATATAATTTTTTTCTAATTTTTAGATTTCTGTTATATTTGCTCATAACTGATTTATTCACTGAAACTCTAAATAATTATTAAAATATGTTGGAATATAAGTGAAAATTTCAACCTGAATAACACCTTATACACATATGAGCTAAACAGCCAAGTCAGAGACTCCCTAAATTCAAAGTATAGCCATCACTAAGCCTTTGTCTGGCTTTTAGAATTAAATAACAGAATTGACTATCATTATGTAAAGAGTCCACAGTGGAAAGTAGGAAGCATATGCAACAGCATTGCTTTTTGAGCCTTGGACCATTGGATTCGTAGACTGACACAAAAACCACTAAACCAGCTGTATGTATGTGGTTAATGTAGAACTTCAGTTTTTAAAGTTGAAAACAAATTTAACAATAATCCCATCCAAAAAATTAATTACAATAACCATCAGTTGAGACCTATTTTGAATATTACAAGTACTTGTATGTTTCTTCTACAAGACAAATTAGTTTTAGAATCAACATGCAAGTTCACTTTTACCAAGTTTTAGTATCTTGAAATCAAGAGATATACTCTCTTTCTCTGACTTGGGTTGCATAAACACCACGTACTTGATAAATGTTCAAAACTTACACCAGAAATATGTTTGGCTACTTCTCATGCACATAGTTAACTAAAGCTAGATGTATTTACAGAATCAGTGAAAACAAGAATACAGTATAAGTGAAAAATTATTTAATTGGTGTTAATACACAAAACTAGTAGCTAAAAAAAATTTGATTCAAACTTCTTCTGCCTGTCTCTTTTGTGTGTGTGTAATTTTTCAGTCTACATCTTGATGAAACTTTATTGAACAGTTAGATGTTGTAGCTCTTTGAGAAGGCTCAGTAATGCACAAAGTGAATTTATAACCTTCATCCCCATTTATAAATGAGTACTATATATTTTTCTCCTTTACGAGATGTGATAATCTAACACAAATAACCTCTACAAAATACATTTTAAGATATTTTGGTCACACGTGGATTCACAAATAGTGTAATGCTAATGATCATTACCTTTAATTAACATCACTGAAGGCCAAAGTTTATAACTATTAAAATTATGACAGAACATTATAAAAGCAATAAAGTTTAACCACATTTTAACTGGCCCTCATCTTTGTAATTTTTATAATAATCACCAGTCACCTTAATGATAGCCTATTGTCAAGGTTATAAGAAACTGTTTTTCTTCTTCTCAAGGGACTGAACATCCAAGGTAAATTTATGGTAACACATGAAATACACTGCTATAGTTCTAGTTGTTATTATACACGTGTTATTAAGAGAAACGTGCATATATGTGCAATTACAGACATATAGGATAATCAGAAAAAAACTCAAACTCCACACATCATCATTCTAATATTTATTTCTGGTTATGAGATTAACTCAGATAGTAGAAATATTCACATTAATATTTAATATTATAAAACAATTTACAAGATACAGATAGAAAGTAGATATTCACTAAATAATGTGTATAATCTGCTTATTAGAATGAAATCTGTGTATGGAAACAAGTTTGGGTAATTATGGAACATACATTTAAAATATTCTTGAATTACGTGTTGATTTATTGATGTGATATATGAATTGTTTTGGACGTTGACAATATTGGAAATTTGTCAGTGGTTTCATATTACAGTTTGTTTGTTCTTTCCTGCTCACTCTGTGCATACATCAACATGTGAACAAGGATATCTATTGAAAATTTACCTTATTTATGGAAATCTGTTTAGTTAACCATTATGAACAGTAGTTTGTTTCATAACGAGTTCCCTTTATATTCTCGCAATTAAACATTTCAGATGAAACTTAAACATTACATTGACTAAATCCAAGTGAAAATAAAAGAAGTTATTTCAAGACTTATAAACATGCTGAAAAGGCTCAAGTTATTGTTGTGCTGTTAGCTTACGTGAGAATTTTACAAAGGATGTACACGTAAAAGCTTGGAAGGTATATTTATAAGCTACTATACAAACAAATAGAAGTCACAATTTATTGATTATTTACACTGAGTTTTCCCTCTACGGTTAAACTTATGAAATCTTAGTTAAGAAATTTTTTCTTCGGAAAAATCAACATTAGAAATAAAGTGTGATACGCAGTTCGTGTGTTCCAAGTAAAAATAAACTCAGTTTACAGAAAACTTGGAGTATTTTTTTCCCTACAAGATACTTAACCTTGTACAACAATGTGATTCGCTGTGAACTTGTGCAAGGTTGTTGGAACCACCAGTTTTAACAAACAATGAAAACTGTAATAGTAGACTACTTTTAGTTTGATTTCTTCTCGTCACGTTTATAACAACATCTTTCGAAATGCAAGCGTTATGGTAAAAATCAGAGAGGCGTTATGATCATGATGAACGAACCTGTCAATCCAGTTGTATGAACAGGTTTTGAATAAAAAAAAGGGGTAAACATTCCAACAAAGTGTGACTTATGTAAAACGTGAAGGTCAAACGGTGTTGTTCCCTCACTACAGAAAAAGTGCACCATTGTAGATTATACCAAAATGGCGGATGTGGGAAGAAATTGGGTCAGTGAATTATCGAATCTTGTTTTTCTACCCGTTAGACCGGCTTCATGTATAATCTACCATCTTTCGCAGTATTCTTACGAAATGGGAGTTTAAGACTGAAGCTAACTGTGACAGAGGTTAAACATCCTGTTTATATTTCATTCTTTTGTAACGGAAGTCGTAGGTGAAGTAAAAAAGAAAAACAGTTAAACATGCAACCAAGTTGGGGCAAAACTTTCTAGAATTATACACCGAATTTTTACAAATATATGTATATATACAATGGGTGTAAATTTCGTGCTAATTTGTAAAGGAAGAAACAGTTATGGTGAAAGAAAAGGTCCTAACTCTCCATGTTATTACTATATATATTCATATAAGCGTAGGGCATCAACTGTCTATGTTAATTTTTGACTTGTCATATATAAATAAAGAGCATGTAACTTTAAAAGATAAATAAATGGAAGTAGAAGTTTAAAATGAAAGTATTGAGTAATTTAGTCATATGGATTATACACATTACAAATAGCATTCAAAACCGTCAAAAAACAATGTGGTGATTTTACTTCCTCTGTCATTTTTTATTTGTATTTCCATCGTTATAAATTCAAAAACATCTTTGCTGTAAAATTTTAATTTTGAATACATCTTCTTCCCATATTCTATATTGCCTGTCTAAGCTATCTACACAGGTAAAAAGTTTATATGGAGAGTTGGGGGGCCTTCACAGCAACTAAAAAACACTTTGCAGAGGTAAATTTTTTACTGAATTATAAAAAGCAAAGATGCACACGTCCTATACTTAGTAGTAATGTTTTAGCTCAGAGAGGTAGGATTTTCTTACAAACTCCTACTGTTTACAGAAAAGTATACTTTCATTTTTAAGGGCCGGCATGGCCAGGTGGTTAGGGAGCTCGACTCGCAATCTGCGGGTCGCGGATTCGAATCCCCATCCCACCAAACATGCTCGCCTTTTCAGCCGTGGGGGCGTTATAATGTGACGGTCAATCCCACTATTCGTTGGTGAAAGAGTAGCCCAAGAGCTGGCGGTGGGTGGTGATGACTAGCTGCCTTCTTACACTGCTAAATTAGGAACGACTAGAGCAGATAACCCTCGTGTAGCTTTGCGCGAAATTCAAAAAAAAACTAATTCATTTTTAAATTAAACATTGGTGTTTTGATATTGTTTCGTAACATAGTTCGATCGTTTTGTAAATAGGTCATGGTTAGTTCGTACAGTATTTCAACATAAAATTTCCTCTCAAGTTCGAAATCCAAAACATTTGAAGTTAGATATATATATGTGAAACAATTCAATAAATAAAAACGTGCTGTTTTGGCACTATTTTAAGTAAGAAGGAACTGCCATCGAAGAAACGACAGCAAAAAAAACAAATGTTTTAACCTTGCTGATATATCGAGTATACCTAAAAACGTTAAGCTGTTCCTTTACATAGAACATTTTGCTCATTTCGACTTTCCCGTAAGTTCAAGAGAAGCTTAAATGAAAATAACCACTATTTACTGTAGAAAGACGAAATAGCTACACAGCTGATCGTCATGATAAGTTAAGAGAGCACAATAAACTGTAAAAGTAAATGGGATTTACGTGAATCAAGCTGAAAATGGCCGACTAACTACAAAAAATTGATACACAAGATCAGTATTGTAAACGTTAACAGCTGAGAACAGGGACAAAACTTCATATCTCGATCTCTTCAATGTCAGAAATAAGTTGGTTGCAAATGTCAAACTGCTCCCATTCTCTATGGCTGATCAATCATAAAGTATCGCTGCTCCATGAGACAGTTGTAGAGGTTTGTTTGTAATTAAGCACAAAGCTACACAATGGGCTATCTGTGCTCTGCCCACCACGGGTATCGAAACCCGGATTCTAGCGTTGTAAGTCCGCAGACATACCGCTGTACCACTGGGGGGGGCAGGTGTAGAGGAGTCCAATATATAAACAAGGTAATGTACAGGTAAGATACGACACAACTATCTTATGAAACAATTTATAACACCCTGACAAATTTCAGCTACAAAAAGTAACACCTAGAGCTAAATTAGCACACGATCTCGACCAGAGTTACTGGTGTTCCAAGTCAGATCTTGATAAAAATGTAAACATTATGTATGGGGAACGTGCTATAGAAGAATGAGATGTGTAATATTTTCTTACTTCTTCTCCTTGAAGTTTGTCTTCAAGCTAACTTTTAAGTTAAACTTAATAACAATGTTAAAATTAAAACGCAATCCAATAAAATTGCATGACAGTCACAACCGTCAATATGACTTGACGGTAGTGCAACAGAA